GAAGGGTGCGTTCCCGTGGCAGCGGGCGCCGAGCCGGCGTGCGGACGCCCTTGGGTGACCGGGGACGGCGCCCCGCGGGGGGGCAGTGCCCTGGGCGCCAGGTGACTGGGGGGGCAGGAAGTCCCGCGTCTGGTTAATGATTCTCCTTGTTCCGGGAGCGGGGCGGGGCGAGGGGAGGCTGGGAAGTGGGGAAACCTCCAGCTCTCCGGGAGGGCAGACTGGTTCCCCGTTTGGGGGGCTGGTCTTGACTCCCCCCACCCCAGGAATGTGTGGCCCGCGGGTAGGGCTGGGCACGGGAGAGCGAGGCGGCTGCCCTGAACCAGTTCTGGGGTGAGGGGCAGGCGGGAGGAGCGAGAAAGGAGGGCCGGGCTGGGCTTGACACTGGCCTTCACCTGCAGGACAGGGACATGTTCTCTGGGCCTGTGGCCATGGAGCTGAAGGTGTGGGTGGATGGCATCCAGCGAGTGGTCTGTGGGGTCTCGGAGCAGACCACCTGTCAGGAAGTGGTCGTGGCACTAGCCCAAGCTATAGGTGAGTCCCCTCCGGCACAACAGGCCCCACGGGCGGACCTGGGGTGGGGCCTGGCCCTCTGGCCCCATCTTCCCCCAAGGAGGGTGGGCTGGTTGCTGATCCCCCTTTCCATCCCCTAGCTTCTCAATCTAGAGGACAAGGGGTGGGGGGACATAGGCTGACCCCTCTCCCCCACCCCAGGCCAGACGGGCCGTTTTGTGCTCGTGCAGCGTCTCAGGGAGAAGGAACGGCAGCTGCTGCCCCAGGAGTGTCCAGTGGGTGCCCAGGCTACCTGTGGACAGTTTGCCAGTGATGTCCAGTTTGTCCTGCGGCGGACAGGGCCCAGCCTCACTGGGAGGCCTTCCTCTGACAGCTGCCCACCCCCTGAGCGCTGCCCAATCCGCGCTAGCCTTCCCCCAAAGCCGAGACCAGCACTGGGCCGTGATCCCCACAAAGCACTGACCTTCAGCCTGGGGAGCCCCAGGCTGGTCTCCAGCCCAGTGCTGCCTGAGCCTGTGGCCTCTGTAGCACCAATGCCAGGCTGCTGCGAAGACCTGCAGGACCTGGAGTGGAGGGTGCAGAGGAACGCAGCAGAGCTGGGCCAGGAGGCCTTCTGGGAGCAGGAGCTGCGGCGGGAGCAGGCACGGGAGCGTGAGGCGCAGGCCCGGCTGCAGGCACTGAGCGCTGCCACCGCTGAGCATGCTGCCCGCCTGCAGGCCCTGGATGCCCAGGCTCGTGCCCTGGAGGACAAGCTACATCTGGCCGCAGAGGCCCCTGGGCCCCCTTCACCTACAGCATCTGCCACAGAACGCCTGCGCCAGGACCTGGCCGCCCAGGAGCGGTACAGTGCAGAGGTGCAAGGCAGCTTGGCCCTGGTGAGCAGGGCTCTAGAGGCTGCAGAGCACGCCCTGCAGGTGAGCTCCCGGGACTGGCACCCCTGACATGGCTGGATTTGGGGGTTGGTCTGGGGGTTAGACTAGGGAGAGCACCAGGTCTAGGCTGTGCCCACTGAGGGTCCCGTGTGCCCCAGGCCCAGGCCCAGGAGCTTGAGGAACTGAACCGGGAGCTGCGTCAGTGTAACCTGCAGCAGTTCATCCAGCAGACGGGGGCCGCCCCCGGCACACAGGTCAGCCAGAATGGTTCCAGGGAGAGGCCGGGTCGGTGAGGGACCCAAGCTCAGTCCCAAGCTGACCTGCTTTCCCCACAGGATCTCATGTCTCCAGCCAGAGGAAAGCCCCTCCCAGGAGCCCCCCGGAGCCCTGCCCTAGTGTCCAGTCTGAGCCCAGAGGGTATGTCTGTCTCCCCCACTCTGGGTGGGATGAGGTCCTCCTGTGGCCCCTCAGCCCCCCTCAGCCTGTGTCCTCTCCATAGTTGGCCCCATGAGGCAGAACTGGAGGTAGCAGCACCTGCCTTGGAATGAATGTCCACTGCCAGCCCAGTCCGGGCTCTGACAACACAGCGAGGGCAGCCAGGGTCAGCCCATCCTGGGTGACAGAGGAAGAATCGGCGGTCATAGAGGAATCATGCCCCCATGCCATTGGAAGCCCTCAGGCCCTGTGCCCAGGACACAACACCTCGGAACTCTGGGGTCTCTGCTGCGGAGGCAGGGGGAAGCTGAGGACTCTCACCCTGGTGCTTGCCATGTCTGCCAAGCCCCTGGAGAAGCTTGGGTTATGGCCAGCTCAGAACTTGCTGGCCCCAAAGCCCACAGCTCTTTGTTGGTGACAGGAGATGAGTGGGTGCTGTTTTCAGTCTGTGGGTGTGTGCTTGTGTGTGGGAGGTATCCTTCAGTACCTTTATATTTGTGTGTGAGCGTGTGAGTGTGTGTGTGAGTGCTGCCCCCTTACCTCGACACTAAAACCTCAGTAAACTGCCTGCAGTGGCTTGAGTGTGTCCTGAGGCGGCACTAGACAGGGTGTATGGGTTCTAACACTTGAGACTCCACCCAGGGTCACTGGGGAGTATCCCGAGCTGCTGGGGGCTGTCCGCAGCCAGGGCTCCTGAGAAGGGGGTCCCCCAAGGTCAGTGGACACTTGGGTCCAAGGCTGGGGCTTTCACGCTGCTGTGCCTACCCACCCTAAGGGACCCCCTGCAGCCTGAGCCTGGTGGTGGGGAGTTGGACGGTCTAGAGCCCTGCCACAGGTATTATCTGACCCTCTCCTACCTGGCTTCTCTCCTCCGGCCTCTCCTCCTACCAACAGCAGGAACTGCCGCCCACTCTGGGGTGGCTCCTGGATATGAGGACTCGAGGACATGTCAGACCTGCCTGTCAGGTTGACTGAGTCTGAGAGCTTGTTGGGGTGGGTCCCAGGACTCCTGGGTTGGCCAGGCCCAGGGAGCTTTGCCCAAAGGGACTGTTTAGGCCCTGTGAGGGTGTGCCTGTCTGCCTTCCAACACCCCCCTTGGCTCCCCAGGTGGGCGTGAAGCCTCTGCTATGTGCCTGTAGCCTTGAAGTCAGGGCAGGTATCCAACACACAGCCCTCTCCTGGGCTGGGCCACAGGCTCCCAGTTCCGAGGGCTGTGGTGAAGATTGGAGACCTTTGTGATGTTCAAAACTTCGGGGGCTGTAAGCCTTGGGTGCAGCCGTGGGTGGTACTGGAGAACAGGATAGGAACACCCTAGATTATGGGGGTCTTTGTGTTGAGTTTTGGGATGGGCAACTTTGGGATGGAGTCAGCCTTCTCCTGGAGGAGAGGGTGGCCCCAAGTCAGGCTGGTGCTCCCCACCTCCTTCAGAGCAGACCATAGGGGCTGTGAAGTCCTAAGCGTCAGGAGCAAGGAAGCCAAGAGCCCAGCTTGGGAGTAGCCAGGACTGGGGACTTCCTGCTGAGACAGCACAGATGAGGAGTGGCTGGACAGGCCAAGGGGCAGGATGATTCTGACCGTGATGTCCGAGGGGCTCAGCCCCGGCTTCCTCTCTGCAAAACTCCCAGCCTGACCACAATCCTGTCTATACTGCCGAGTGAGCCTGCTGCCCGACTCAGCACAGCCTGTTCCTGGGGCCTGGGCTGGCCTGACCTGTGGCCCCAATCAGGTCCAAGCACAGTCACCTGGGGTGTAGCCTGGACTGGAAAGGCTGACAGGCCATGTCCTGGGTGGAAGCACTGTGTGCTCTGGGCAGGGCATTCACCATCAGATTTGAGGGGCCTGCTCCCTTCACCCGCAGTCCCCACCCACACTCAGGAAGGTTGGATGTATCTGGGCACCAGCCCTGACCCGCTGCATGGGACCATCTCCCAAGCTGAGTGAGCGCACAGGCCAGCAGGGCAAAGCCAGGTGCCATTCAGGGACCATGCTACACACGCACGCACGC